CTCACATTTCTCAGCTTCTACCTATGGGCCGTCAGACTCCTAAGCACAATATAGCACCGCAAATTTCACTGGTGCCAGCGTAGCGTGTAATATGTACCTACCATAATATAAGATCATACACCCGAGTAATATACATGTTGCAGTGGTGAAATCCAAATTTTTTTACTACCAGTTTTGTAGGCGTGGCTTGGTGGGCATGGCAGGGGAAGGATACTGCAAAATCTCCATTCCTACCCCACTCCAGGGGAAGGCTACTGCAAAATCCCCATTCCCTCCCCACTCCAGGGGAAAGGATACTGCAAACTCCCCATTCCCACCCCACTCTTGGGGGAAGGATACTGCAAAATCCCCATTCCCTCCCCACTCCAGGGGAAAGGATACTACAAAATCCCCATTCCTATCCCACTCTGGGGCCAGCCAGAGGTGGTATTTGCTGGTTCTCCAAACTACTCAAAATTTCCGCTACTGGTTCTCCAGAACCTGTGAGAACCTGCTGGATTTCACCCCTGACATATTGTATAGAATATGTTGTACATATGGAAACATAGGATTAGTTTTTCCCCTAACTACTTGTATAAGGATTATTCTTTATATTATTCACGTTGTCTTGTATGAACTGCATCAGTAGAGGCTAAACCAATTTCGTTGTATACATGATGTACTATGACAATAAAAGCTTTCAAATTTCAAATCTTTATTGTCAGTGCACAACATATATACAATGAGATTGATTGAGCTCCCTCAATGCACCCCCCCCCCACAACACAATACAACTCACAGTGAATACAGAAAATCCCTAACCCAATAAATCATATTAACAAAACACCCAGTCCTATTGTACCAGTGTTGTTAAGGATATTGTTGTTGTGTTACCAACCAGCAGAGTAAATGCACAAGGAAACGTTGCTGAGAGCAATGAATAAGAGTTATGCAAACTGGTTTATCAAAAGCTTACTTTATAGTAGAAAAACAGTCTCATAGTCTTTAAACAAATTCCAAGTCTTTGCCAGTTAAATCAGTCCAGTAGTTTAAGAATCTTCTTACCCAACAAACAGTAGTTGGTTAGAATAACAAACTCACTCTGGTTCACAAACCACGATGGTTGCAGATCCATCCAACGATGATTAGCAGATAGCAACTCCTCTCAATGGTAGCTTATCATAGCAGCTTCATCATCTCATCATCTTCATACACAATGGCAGCATAGCATAGCAGCAACTGAACATGTTACAATACCTTGCTTAAATACTCTCACAACCAGTCATTACCTAATAACAGCATGACTCAGCATTAAAGTCACATAATACATTTACAGATTAAAGTTACAGTACACTTATATTACCTGGACAACTGTTAGGCTCAAACCATATCCTAACAAGTGTGAACAAGTTACATGTTGCGCTGGCCCTGCAAGTCCATCGTACTATATAGTTATGATGTTAAAATGATGTTATTTCTCATTCAGGAATCTAACAGCCCACGGATAAAAACTGTTCTTCCGCCTGTTTGTGCAGCTGGCTATGCTTCTATATCTCCTTCTGGATGGTAGGAGGGGAAAGAAGTGGTGACCAGGGTGACAGTTACCCCTGATGACTTATGAAATGTTCCAGATTCCAGGTAGCCAGGCATATACACTTCCCCACAGGGCTCTGTCCCATTCTGGAAGGTTTAAATTCCTTTAAGGGCTGTGAGAATAACCTTGAAGAACAAAGGTTAACCTTGAAGGCTATTGCTTAACACATTGTAAGCCGTCCTGAGTCTCCGGAGAAGGGCGGCATATAAATCAAATTTAAAAATAAATATATAAATAAATAAATAAATAAATAAATAAATAAATAAATAAATAAAAGAGCTGTGGCCAAGGCATCAGTCAGAGAAGAGAAATCTGAGCCCAGAGCAGAAATGTAATTAGAGGAAGCATCTCAGACTGGTCCTTCTATAGCTCTGTCAAAGGTGAAGATAGGGAGGGCCAGGCACATTCAGATTTACTAGATTCTGTTTCTGTGATGCTATGAACCAAGGAGGATTTACTATTCACACCTGTGGGATTCAAATTTGGTCTACCTGAAAGGACCAACACTTCCTTATTGGATGCTCCATGTTTAGTTGTCTATCGGAATGGACAGGCCACCTTACTCACAGCAATAGGGATGCCATGTCTGTTTGTACAAGACTTGACGCAACTCCCACAGTCCCAAGAAAAGGGAAATTTCTGCTTTTAGTGTACATCCTGTGTTTTTACTTATAAGGGCCGCTAGAAGGCAGCACACAATCAGTTTCGTTCTGTATTACAGCGTTTCTTAACCTTAGCAACTTGAAGATCTGTGGACTTCAACTCCCAGAATGCCCCAGCTAGCATGAAGAAACTTTTAGTTGTACAAATTTAGTTTTACAAATATTGTTATTATTAAAGCAGCATAGTATAGGATAGTATAGGATTAATATAATATAATATAATATAATATAATATAATATAATATAATATAATATAATATAATATAATATAATATAATAATTATATTTACTGTATTGTACTATACTATACTATACTATAATATAATATACATGGTACAATACTATACTATATTGTGATTTATTTATTTATTTTATTTTACTTCAAATTTATATACCGCCCTTCTCCCTAGGGACTCAGGGCGGTGTACAGCCAAGTAAAAACACATAACTACATAATACATAAATTAAGAACAGATTAAAAGGAAATATCTCACTTTGGCCCAAAATTTAAAAAGACAAACAAATTTAAAATCATTTAAAAGGATTTGTTAGGCCAGCCCGGCTTGTTGAAAAAGGAAAGTTTTAAGGGCATGGCGGAAGGCACGGAGGTGATATATGATATGATAAAATATGATATGATGATCTGATCAGATCAGATATAATCAGTGGAAGCTTTCAAGAAGAGACTGGACTGCCATCTTTCAGAAATGGGTTTCCTGCTTGGGTGGGGGGTTGGACTAGATGACCTCCAAGGTCCCTTCCAACTCTGTTATTCTATTCTATTCTATTCTATTCTATTCTATTCTATTCTATTCTATTCTATTTCTTATTCTTCTATTCTATTCTGTTCTATTTCTTATTCTTCTATTCTATTCTATTCTGTTCTATTCTATTCTTATTCTTCTATTTTATTTGATTCTATTCTATTCAACTCTATTCTATTCTATCTTATTCTTCTATTCAACTCTATTCTATTCTATCTTATTCTTCTATTCAACTCTATTCTATTTATTCTATTCTATTCTATTCTATTCTTTATTCTATTCTATTCAACTCTGTTCTATTCTATTTCTTATTCTTCTATTCTATTCTGTTCTATTCTTATTCTTCTATTTTATTTGATTCTATTCTATTCAACTCTATTCTATTCTATCTTATTTTTCTATTCTATTCAACTCTATTCTATTTATTCTATTCTATTCTTTATTCTATTCTATTCTATTCTATTCTATTCTATTCTATTCAACTCTATTCTATTCTATTTCTTATTCTTCTCTTCTCTTCTCTTCTCTTCTCTTCTCTTCTATTCTTCTATTCCTATTCTATTCTGTTCTACTCTATTCTCTATTTTCTCTTCTCTTCCCTCCCCTCCTATTCTATAAAAACAGAACTTAGAAATATAAAGTTCAACTTTCGCTTCCATAGAATGTCACAGGGAACACCATGGCCTGCACGATCCTGATCTTTGTAAGTGTAAGACACATCACGGCATCCGAACAACTTGAGCAAAGCTTTCCTAGATTAAATCAGCCAAATAGGAAAGTAGCCAGGATGGATTGAAGAAGTGTTGAAATTAGATATCTTTAGACAGGGGCTCCCTCTAGTGAGAGCAAAACATCATGTCATTCAGAGCAGTGTTTCTCAGTCTTTCGCTACCTGAAGATACGTGGATTTCCAACTCCCAGAATTCCTCAGGCTGGCTAGAGAATCCTGGGAGATTGAAGTCCACCCATCTTCAAGCAACCAAGTTGAGAAACAGGGTTCCAGATGATTCATGTTGGGGTGTGTGTGTGTGGGATGGATTGAATCACATAGGTCCTCCTTTGTTGCCACACCTTTGGAACTGAATTTGATTACAAGTATTCTATGGTGCTGGAGAAGACTCCTGCGAGGCCCTTGGACTGCAAGGTGATCCAACCGGTCAGGCCTAGAGGAGATCAACCCTGACGGCTCTTTAGAAGGCCAGATCCTGAAGAGGAAACTCAAATACTTTGGCCACCTAATGAGAAGGAAGGGCTCACTGGAGAAGAGCCTAATGCTGGGAACGATGGAGGGCAAAAGAAGAAGAGGACAGCAGAGAACGAGGGGGCTGGATGGAGTCCCTGAAGCCATCGGTGTGAGCTTAAATGGACTCCAGAGGATGGTAGAGGACAGGAAGGCCTGGAGGAATGTTGTCCATGGGGTCACGATGGGTTGGACATGACTTCGCAACTAACAACAATTCCTCAACTTAGAACCCTACATTTAGTGACTTTTGGTAGTTACAACAGCATTGAAAAAAAGTGACTTAAATTATAACCGTTTTTCCACACTTTGGACCACTGCAGCATCCCCGTGGTCACGTGATCAAAATTAGGACACTTGACAACTGACTCGTACTTATGATGGTTGCAATGTCCCATCGTGGGACATCGGCTTGAGACCAGGTTATCTGCGGGACTGTCTCTTGCCAGTCACACCTACCCGACCCATCAGAGCGGGGAGGCAGGGAATGTTGCGGGTCCTATCCCCGAGGGAGATAGATCTGGTGGGACCCGTAAGAAGGGCCTTCTCCGTGGTGGCTCCCTCTCTCTGGAACATCTTTCCCCCCCAAGATTAGAATGTACCCCCTCTAATATGCTTCCGGAAGGTGCTGAAGATCTGGTTCTACCAGCGGGCCTGGGGAACCCAGAGTGGTATGGAGCCCATTAAGTGGTTCATGTGATTGATCGGCTGTCGCCGAGACGGGAGGTGAGGGGTGATTTTGTTATATTGTACGATATTAGTTTGATTCTTTCTGTTAGTTTTTATTGTTTTAAATGAGGTTTTATATTCTGTAAACCGGCTTGAGTCACCATGTGAGAAGGGGCAGCAATATTAATTCAATAAATAAACAAACAAACAAACAAACAAACAAATAGTCAAGCGATCACTTTTTGCAACCTTCTGACAAGCAAAGTCAATGGGGAAAGTCAGATTCGCTTACTAACCTAACTTCATAGCTGCAAGGATTCAAAGTCGTAAAATGGGACAAAACTCACTTAACAGTCTTGCTTGGCAATTTTGGACTCAGTTGTGATTGTTAAGTCAAGGACTACCTACTACCGACAGCAGTGGCCAAAATTGTGGAAACCTTTTGGGAAAAGTATATTTTCTAAAATTAGCTAATAATACCACCCTTTTTTTTTTTTTTTTTGGAGTAGTACCATAACATTATATATCAATGGAAAGATAATTTAATCAAGGGTGTAATGCAATAGCTTTTAGGAAGGATTTGCTATTAGAATAGCAGTTATGGTATAAAGAAGAAAAGTGAAACACGTAGAAAAAACGAGATATACAAAAATTATCACCATAGAAAAAACGAGATATACAAAAATTATCACCATAGAAAAAACGAGATATACAAAAATTATCACCATAGAAAAAATGATATATATAAAAATTATCACCATAGAAAAAACAAGATATACAAAAATGATCCCCATGTCAGTTAATCCTTAGTTGGGTAACCTTTAGCATGAATTACAGCCTTATAACACCTTCCCATGAAGTGAGCCAAGTCTTTTAGTTCTGCAGGTGTTATCATGTGAAACCAAGATTGAAGGATTGCTTCTATTAATTGAGTTTTATTGCTGGGTCGCTTCTGACAAACAAGTTTCTTTAGTCAGCTCCATAGATTTTCAATTGAGTTAAGGGCTATTCCCCAGCCATTCCAGCAGTGGAATAGGATTATCTTGAAACTTTTTTTAAAAAAAAAATGGTGTTATTAGCCATCAAACCTCAAAAGGACACTTTTCCCAAAAGATTTCCACAATTTTGGCCACTACTATATATTTGAAAGAGAGGAACGGGGGATTTGGTAAAGGCAAAGGACGGATTCAGCTTGGGTGTAACAGATACAATTCGTAATCCTTAAAGTTGTCATTTCTGATAATCCCTGCTGGACTTTTGCAGTTTAATGGAAACCGGAGGAAAACATGGATTAAAAATACTGGGTTTTCTTTTAAGAAACTGTGGCGAGTTCTTAATGTTGATTCTACTGGCAGAGGATGGAAGCAGATATTTCTTTTGTTCTATTTTTAATCTTTGTTCTTTCTTTTTCGTCTTACCTGCACCTTTTGGCACAGCTTTTTAATTTTGTCATTGTGCCAAGTTTTACTCGTCTCATTTAATCCCTTTTATTGAAAAAATAAGAGAGGGAAAACTCAGCAACTCCTGAATTGTGTATAAAAACTATTTCCACATGTACAGCATATATATCAGCCCGTCAGTTCCATTAAATCTTTTAGCTCCTAATATCAATCAATTGAACTCTAGATCTCTAGTTCCCCTCCCATACACCACCAAGTAAGGGAGGGTGGGATGGAATCCATTACTACGGAGGTAAGAGGGGGTGAGGAAGGGGAGGGAAGGCTGCTTGTAACAGAATGATCCATTTCAATATTATTAAAACAGGAACATTTGGACAGATCCAGTGGTGGGATTCAGCCGGTTCAGGAAAACTAGTTGTTAAATTACTGGCTGGCCCTGCCCCTTCCCGGAGTCCCCCTGCACCCCGTTTTTGTTCCCAGGCAGGTGCAGGGAAGCCTACTAGGCTCAATATGGGGCACGGGGATGGGTGGGTGCGGTGCGGTCCCCCTGCACCCCGTTTTTGCTCCCAGGAGGCTGCAGGGAGTCCTACTAGGCCCAAAACAGGACATAGGAGGTGTGGAGCGGCCCCCCGCACCCCATTTTTGCGCCCTGGAGGCTGCAGGGAGGCATACTAGGCCCAAATCAGAGCGCGGGGGGAGCGGTGCTCCCCCACAGCCTGTTTTTGCTCCAAGGAGGGTACAGGAGGCTGAGTGATGCCTGTCACACCCCCTGGCCATGCCTGGCCAGCCAGTCATTAGGGCAGAGAACCGGTTGTTAAATCATTTGAATCCCACCACTGGCACAGATCCCTGCCGATCCTTTGAAAGACGACCAAACAGGGTTTCTAACACTCTTGGTGTCACACAAGAACCGCATTCTGTTTGTGAGAAAACTGTGCTGGGCGGGTTGCTGTGGGCTGGTGTGGTTGGTCCCAAAGTGAGCTAAACGTCCCTTGGGTGTGTTTGCTCAGCTCTGCCATTCATGTGCCGAGGAGCAGGTGTTGTTCATCCCACAATCGCAGGAGCTGGGAAGCCTTCATCTGGTTCGCTGCTTCTTCCTGGCTTGGTTTCCTTGCTCACCAACATCTCCCTGGTCTTCGTCTGGACTCACAATCGGTAAGGAGGGCAAACGCAGCTTTTCAGCCAAAGCCCAGGTCCAGAGGCATTTTTCCACCAGGTGAGCCGTCCAGGTTTCCGTGGTGTTACCTAACAAAACACAGAATAACAGAGTTGCAAAGGATCTTGGAGAACGGTTCCCCTCACACATATGTGCTAGTCGTTCCCGACTCTAGGGGACGGTGCTCATCTCCATTTCAAAGCCAAAGAGCCAGTGCTGTTCGAAGACATCTCCATGGTCATGTGGCTGCCAGACTCTACGCCAAAGGTGCACAGGACGCTGTTAACTTTCCACCAAAGGTGGTCCCTATTTTTCTATTTGCATTTTTTTACGTGCTTTCGAACTGCTAGGTTGGCAGAAGCTGAGACGGGAGCTCACCCTGTTACGCAGTTCTAGGGATTCGAACCGCTGAACTGCCGACCTTTCAATCGACAAGCTCAGCACCTTAGCCACTGAGCCACCAATATTCTCCAACTGCCCTATTTCTGCATCGGAAAAGTCCGTAAAATGGGCAAAAAATGTCCGTTAACAAGTGTCTCGCTTAACAACAGAAATTTTGGGCTCGACTGGTCGTAACTCCAAGATGACCTGTTACAATCTAAGCAATAAACTCCACAGATAAATCTATTTTCTCTGCTTCTCGTCTCTTTCAATAGGTTCTCTTTATTTTTCAGCCTTTATTATGCAGGTATCAGAGGAGTCAAATGATGTGAGTTTGTCAAATCAAGAGTGGTCCTTCAAGAAAAGATTTTCAAGAGAAGATTGGACAGCTGTCTGTCCTGAATTTATTTATATGGCTGCCCAACTCGCTCTTAGTGACTTCATGAATGGTATGAGGACTTGGCTTGTGGGTTGGACTAGAAGACCTCCGAGGTCCCAGACTTACGATTCTATGATTCTGGAGGGGAGGACTTTGCGAAAACTTTGTCTTACCTTTGTTCAGTTTCTTCACACAGCTCTGAATCTTATCCATATAAAGCAGATAATGTTTCAGGGTGTACTGGAGGGGACCGAGGCCTGGGAGGGTCTCCATCACTTCATCGGCCATGAATGCAGCAATTTCAGGTGCTCCGGCAGCGAGAATGGCTAAAACAGAAGCCAAAACAGGAGGCTAAGGAAGAAATAACTGGGAGGAGTGAACAGGGTGCAAAGTCTCCCTGCCCAGAAGTAGGCAGGCTCATCCCTGCCCGATATTTCTATTCTTTTTACTGATTAGATTTAGAATCCATTTATTGTTTGGATTGCTTCGATCCTACCTTTCTGCTTGCATCGGGATGGAAATAAATGGGACTCAGAGGATAATGACCATGAAGAATTCACCATCGATCAATAGGTATTAAAAAATGGCCATCATAGAACATGAAAAACATGGAGTTACAGAATAAGAGAGTTGGAAGGGACCTTGGGAGGTCTTCTAGTCCAACCCCCTGCTCAGGTAGGAAACGCTACACCACTTCAGACAAATAGTTACCCAACATCTACTTAAAAACTTCCAGTGTTGGAGCAGCCACAACTTCTGGAGGCAAGTTGTTCCACTGATTAATTGTGACCCATCATTAATTTGTAACCTGCCATTTTTTGTACCTGAAGCCGTGGCTGGCCCCACGCCCTTCAGTTCATTCAAGTCCTTTACCGCCACTTCTACATCTGGGAGTTGATGGAAAGCTTTTCTGGTATGTTCCTCCACCATCTTGCTTGGATTAGCAGCCACCAGCTGCTGCAAACGAGGCCGAAATTTTCCTCTCTGCAAAGACCAGAAAAGCAGAAATGATCCACTTTTGAGCGCGAGCTGCAAATGTTTAGCGCGATTTCATTCTGCCAACTGTGCCATTTCGCCATCGTTTGTCTCTCCTCAGTGCTGGGCTTAAACCAGGGGTGAATCCAGCAGGTTCTGGAGAACAGGTAGCGGAAATTTTGAGTAGTTCGGAGAACCGGCAAATACCACCTCTGGCTGGCCCCAGAGTGGAGTGGGAATGGAGATTTTGCAATATCCTTCCCCACAGGAGTGGGGAGGGAATGGGGATTTTGCAGTATCCTTCCCCCAGGAGTGGGCAGGGAATGGGGATTTTGGAATATCCTTCCCCCAGGAGTGGGGAGGGAATGGGGATTTTGCAATATCCTTCCCCTGCCATGCCCACCAAGCCACACCCACAGAACCAGTAGTAAAAGAATTTGAACTTCACCACTGGCTTAAACCTTCTCTCTCTTCTTCAGCCTTCATGTTTCTAGTCCCAATCCTGGCTGTGTGTGCCCTTTGCCCTTTTTGGAACTCAAATAATTTTGGCTCTTTCCTCCTTCAAACATGGTGCCCAGAATGGGGCACAGGACTTGGTCTAAAACCTATCCAGCTCGAAAAAGTTGGTATTTATATGGCATGTTTGGCCATGGGATGAATAATGATTCCAAATAGCCAAATTTTAGACACCCTGAACCGTAAGTCATCTTTGTGGGTGCTAACACGCTATAAACTAACATGTCTCAAGCTGGTTTGGGTTCAGAATTATTAAGGAAAACAGCAAAGGAATGGGATGTTTAACCTTCCAGAGTTATTCCAGAAAGTTCCTGGGTGACACTGGACCTGCTAGTCTTTTTCAGCCCAACCTACCTCAAAGGGTTGTTGTAAGGAAAAACAGGAGAACAGAACACCGTGGATGCTTGCTAAGCGAAAGCTTAACCAATCTATTAAGAAGACTGCACTAATATGCCAATCGCATCTTCACTATATCCATTAAAGGAGAATATTTGTAGCTCAGGGTTGAAATGAGGAGTCCTTGGTGCTTTCTGAGCTGGGTTGTTTTCTTGCAGACATTTCATTACCCAACTAGGTAACATCATCAGTGCTAGAAGGGAGTGGGGTTTGCAGGGAGGAGGAGGAGGAAGAGGAGGAGGAAGAGGAGGAGGAGAAAGACTGTGGGGTCCTTGGTGCTCTCTGAGCTTGCTTGTTTTCTTGCAGACATTTCATTACCCAACTAGGTAACATCATCAGTGCTAGAAGGGAGTGGGGTTTGCAGGGAGGAGGAGGAGGAAGAGGAGGAGGAGAAAGACTGTGGGGTCCTTGGTGCTCTCTGAGCTTGCTTGTTTTCTTGCAAATATTTCATTACCCAACTAGGTAACATCATCAGTGCTAGAAGGGAATGGGGTTTGCAGGGAGGAGGAGGAGAGGAGGAAGAGGAAGAAGAGGAGGAGAAGGAGGAAAAGGAGGAGGAGACGGAGATTGTGGGGTCCTTAGTGCTCTCTGAGCTTGCTTGTTTTCTTGTAAATATTTCATTACCCAACTAGCTAATGTCATCAGTGCACCTTGGGTAATGAAATATCCGCCAGAAAACAAGCAAGCTCAGAAAGCACCAAGGACCCCTCATATACCTATTTTACAGATGGGTTTTAAGGCTGAGCTTTCACCTGTTGTAGAACTGCTGAAATCTGTTTAGCGCTTCAAGAGAGGAAAATACCTACGGTCAGCTTCCATTCCATGAGTTTCAACAATTCGTCTTTCGTCAAGTATTTTTCCTTGCGCCCTGCAAGAATTTCGGGCAACTCTTCTTGATACCTTGAAAAGAGACAAGTAAAAGAAACAGTAAAAGCATACAGAGCCACCCTCCGAGGAACATTTTTAAGAAGCTTATGAAAATAATAAATCAGGCTTGTCAGATGTTACATCTTTTCTATCCTGCTCTACGGAGTAGAAAGTCGGTCTCTGACGGAAAGCCACTTGAAGAAACTAGAAGCATTTGAAATGTGGATTTACAGACGGCTGTTACGTATAAGCTGGGTTAACAAAATCAGAAATGAGGAGGGGATAAGCCACCTGGGAAAGCCAAGGGAAGTCATCGAAGCCATTAAAAAGCGAAGGTTAGAATATTTTGGACATGTGATGCGACACCCAGAAAAATACGGCATCCTTCACTTAATCCTCCAAGGGAAAGATTGAAAGCAAACGAGGTCCAGGCAGAAGAAGAAGATCATGGCTTCAAAACCTAAGGGACCGGTTTGGACAAAACTCAGCAGTCCTTTTTCATGCGGCTGTTGACAAAAATAGGATTGCCAACATGATCTCCAATGTCTGATGACGGATATGGCACAAGAAGCAGCAGAATGGAAATAAGAAAGAAGGTGGTAATGCACAAACAGTCTTAAAATGCAATTCAATTCTATCCTGCACATGGAAAATTGTCAAGCTAGGCCAGGGGTCAGCAACCTGTGGCTCTGGAGCCGCATGTGGCTCTTTCACCCCTCTGCTGCGGCTCCCCGTCACTCAAAATATGAGTCATAACCGCCAATGTGCAAAACCCACCGGCACGAGATTTACTGAGCTTTTCAACCCCCCGGTAGGCCAACCATGGATAAATCCAAGAAAAGAAAAATTTCAGAAGAAAACAGAACGTTTAATTCAACTACATATGCTAGTTTTGTGGCTGCTCGAGAAATAGTCAGGCACAGGAAGGGTTTTGTGGCTCCCGGTGTTTTCTTTTCTGTGGGAAATGGGTCCAAATGGCTCTTTTGGAGTGTTTAAGGTTGCAGGCCTCTGGGATAGGCCAACGAGGGCTGATAAAACCTTCATTAAACTGTCCAAATTACACATCAGTAATTTACCACCGATCCAAGGCAATTAGTCTCTTCTTCTTGCTTCCCATAGCTTCAATCACATCCTGGTAAATATTCAAAACGGCTTTCCAGGACGCTGGATGTTCACATGCATAAAGTCCTCCTTTCCCTGACATGCTTTAAGACCTCCTGGAACAGAGAAAAATCAAAATATTAGGTAGCCAAGGGCACAAGAGGTCATCTTTTTTATGTTTGGTTGTTTAAAACAGTATTTCTCAAGCTCTGCAATTTTAAGATGGGTGGACTTTAACTCCCAGAATTCCTAAACCAGCTAAATTAAGCTGGCTGACGAATTCTGGGAGTTGAAGTCTGGGGAATTCTGGGAGTTGAGGTCCGCTCATCTTAAAGTTTGCCAAGCTGGAGAAAGGCTGATTTAGGGTATTATATAAAGTCTGACCCAAAGTGGAAAGCCAAGTCAATCATATCTGGGATATTCTAAGCCAGGGGTCTGCAACCTTAAAACACAGAGCCATTTGGACCTGTTTCCCACAGAAAAGAAAACACCGGGAGCCACAAAACTAACATATGTAGTTGAATTAAATGTTCTGTTTTCTGAAACTTTTCTTTTCTTGGATTTATCCATGGTTGGCCTACCAGGGGTTGAAAAGCTCAGTAAATCGTGTGCTGGCAGGTTTCGCACATTGGTGGTTGTGACGCATGTTTTGAGTGACAGGGAGCTGCAGCAGAGGGGTGAAAGAGCCACATGCGGCTCCAGAGCCACAGGTTGCTGACCCCTGTTCTAAGCAAAACCCTTGTTTCTACACCTTGGTTCATGTTTAGGATTTCAGCCCTAAACTTTTCAAGAAATAAGCCGGATTTACCTCAATATGGGATCCCTTCCATTGTGGGTGGCCACCTGTCACTCAAGGCTAAACCTCTCAGCTATAATTGTTCGATGTAATTGTGGTCAGTTATACCCAAATGTGCTGTGATGTGCAGACACGCCAACATGTAGCTTTGCCAATTTTGTGGGTTTTGTTGTTGTTGGGTTTTTTGCTACTTTTGAGTCAATGTTGATTCTTTTTGATAGTACAAATTCCTGCAGTTTCCTTGGCAATGTTTCTTGGAAGTGGTTGCCCTTGCCTGCTTCCTAGGGCTGAGAGAGAGAGAGATTGGCCCAAAGTCTCTGGCTTGCATGCCCAAGGCAGGACTGGAACTCACAGCCTCCCAGTTTTTAGCCTGATGCCTTAGCCATTGCAACAAACTAGTCCTCATTAAGAATAATAAAGCCTCTGCCAACCTTTTCTTGGCAAGGTTTTTGGGAAGCGGGTTCCCACTGTCTCTTTCCTAGGGCTGAGAGAGGTCACCTAACTGGCTTTGTGCCCAAGACAGCACTAGAACTCACCACCTCCCAGTGTCTAACCCGGTAGGCACCAAAGTTTTTAATTTTGGTTTAACTCACAGTTTCATCAAATCGACTGAAGTCCAATGTATCTTATCAGAATGTGCAACCTCCCCCTTTGGTGAATCGATCAAAACTTAACAGAATAAAAGAGTTGGAGGGGACCTTTGAGGTCTTCTAGTCCAACCCCCTGCCTCAAGCAGGAGACCCTAGACAAGTGGCTGTCCAGTCTCTTTTTAAAAGCCTCCAGTGATGGAGCATTAGGATCCAGCCTGCACTTTAACCAACCAACCGAGGCTTTAGTTTGGGAAACAGCCCCCCCACCCCAAGCCAAAACCCACCAACCACGGTTTGACTCAACAAGCCAGTGGTTGCTCCCTCGATCAGCTCCACCCAAGATCCCCTTCATCCTTTTTGAGTCGGTCCGCTTCACTGCCCGGGCACAACCGAGCCAAACCCCGCGGGACTCCCGCTCCTGCCCGGCGGCGCCCCCCACTCCCCGCGCCCGACCGTTAAGCCAACCGACCGTGCGCAACCGGAGCCGTCTGGGTGCAAAGCGGGGTTGACAACGCATCTCCGATCCTCCGGCTGGGCGCAGTTACTCACACGAGGTCGCCCACCCGCCTGCTTGCCCAGCGCTCGCTCGGCGACCCCCTACCCACCTACTCAGCCAGTCCCCCTTCCCATCCCCCGGCTGGGCGCAGCCACTCCCCGTCGTGCGCAAAGCGGGATCGCCCTCCTGCCGGCTCGCTCAGGGACCCAAGTCTCCCCCCACCGCCCGCCTGCTTGCCCAGACCTCGCTCAGCGACCCCCTACCCACCCAGCCATTTCTCATTCCCACCCATCCCTCGCCTCCCGACCCGAGCTCAGCCACTCACTGTCGGCCGCAAAGCCAGGTCTCTCCCCCCACCTCTCTCACCCGCCTGCTTGCCCATAGCTCGCTCAACGACCCTCTTCCCGACCCCCCCCCCGGGCTGGACTCATCTACTCACCGTCGGTCGGAAAACTAAGTCCTCCCCCCTACTTGTCCAACATCCACTCAGCGACCCCCCTACCTACCCACCCATCCGTCCATCCATCCATCCCACTCCGAGCATCCCCCCCCCCCGGCTGAGCTGCTCCCCGGCGGCCGGAAAGCAAGATCGCCCACCTGCTAGCTTGCTCAGCGACCCCCTTACCACCCAACCCACTCCGCCCCTCCTCCCCACCCATCCCCCGGCTGGACTCATTTATTCAGCGTGGGTCGGAAAACCAAGTCGCCTCCCCTGCTTGCCCAACGCCCGCTCAGCGACCCCCTACCCACTCACCCTCCCACTCCGAGCCCCCCGGGGTTGGGCTCATCTACTCACCGTCGGTCGGAAAACCAATCCCCTCCCCTGCTTGCCCAACGTCCGCTCAGCGACCCCTTTCCTCATCCCTCCTTCTCCGAACCCTCTCCCCCTCCTCGGAGGGGCTGGGCTCACCTACTCACCGTCGTCCGCAAAACCAGGTCTCTCCCCCCCTCCACTCCCCGGCCGCCTGCTTGCCCAGCGCCCGCTCAGCGCCCGCCGTTCGCCCCCACCAGCCGGTTCCTCCTCCTGCCCGTTGTCGTTGTCGCCGTCGTGGGCGTTTTCGCGGCCGGGCGCAGCAGCAGCAGCAGCAGCAGAAGCCGTAGCGCGCCGATCCCTCCTCCCCTTCCTCCTTTGCCACGGCAGCGCTCCGCCCGTTCCTCCCGGCTCCTCCTGCGGCTGGCTGGCTGCTCCGGGGCCGCCGCCGCCTCCGCTGCTTCTGCTACTTCTTCTGCCGCTGCCGGGGCTGCTCTCGCGGGGAGGGAGGCGGGCGGGCGAGCGGGGCCCGGGCCGGGCTGTGGCGGTGCGTCGGGGCCGGGGCGAGCGGTGCCCGCCGGGCTCCTCCGGGGGCGGCGGCGGCTGCTTCTGCCTGGGCGGCGGCATGAAGGGGAAGGAGGAGAAGAAGGAGAAGAAGGAGGGCGGCGCGGGGCTGCCCGGCGGAGGCGAGGCGGGCGTCGGAGGCGGCATCGGCGGTGGAGGAGGCGTCGGGGGCGTCGGCGGAGGCAGCCCGGAGAAGACCCGCAGCGCCCAGGAGTACAAGGAGCAGGGCAACCGGCTCTTCGTCGGCCGCAAGTACCCCGAGGCCGCCGCCTGCTACGGACGGGCCATCGTGAGTCGGAGGAGGAGGAGGGCCCGGGTGGGGAAGGGGACCTCTGAGCATGGGCAGAGTTGGGTAGGTCAGTCGGCCCCTGGTGGGATGGTTGCAGAGGAGGAGGGAGGAAGACGCAGACAGGCAGGGTTTTATAATGTTAGGGTAGAAAGGGGGGCTTGCAGAGGGGAAGGGGACCTCTGAGCATAGGCAGAGAGCGCTGGAGATGGAGAGTTCAGGTAGTGATACCTGGAGGGAAGTAAAGGTTTCCCCTCCCCCCCATAAAGTGCACTCCCCCACACCCATAAAAAGGATGCCTTATGAGCAGGGCCAAAGTGCATCGGATGCAAGGCTTTGCGTGTTTGTGTGTGGGAAGGAGAGAGTGCCTCTGAGCACAGGCAGAGTTGGGTAGGTCGGTCGGCCCCAGGTGGGGTGGTTGCAGGGGAGGAGAAGGAGGAAGGAACCTGCAGACAGGCTGGGTTTTGTAATGTTAGGGTAGGAAGGAGGGTGGGGGTTGCGGAGGAGAAGGGGGCCTCTGAGCATAGGCAGAGAGTCCTGGAGAGGGAGAGTTTGGGTAGTGATACTTGGAGGGTAGCAATAGGGCCTCTGAGCAGGGGCCAAAGTGCATTGGGTGCCAGGCATGTTGGGTTTGGGGTTTGTGTGTGGGAAGGAGAGGGTACCTCTGAGGACAAACAGAATGCCACTCCTCCTCCTTTTGGAGGTCAGCCACATGTCTGCATTGCCGCTTTCTGTACAGGTAGTCCTAGAGGCTTACAAGAGTCCATTTAGTGGCCTCTCAAAGTGATAATGTCCCTGAAAAAAAAGTGACTTGTGACCGTTTTTCACACTTAACGACCGTTGCAGCATCAAGTGATCAAAATTCAGATGCTCGGCAACTGACTCATACTTATGACGGCTGCCGTGTCCCCGGGGATCACCTTCTGACAAGCAAAGTCCATAGGGAAGCCGGATTCCATTTCACAATCAGGTTACTTACTTAATTAACTGCAACGATTCGCTTAACGACTTCGGCAAGGAAGGTCATAAAACGGGGCAAAACTCACTCAACCAATGTCTTGCTTGGAAACGGAAAAATTTGGCCTCGATCATGGTCGTAAGTCGAGGACTACCCGTGCGGACAGAATGGCAATGTTGTAACGAGGTTGGTTTTCCTCTCCCGAGCAAAGGAAGAGGGGTCCTCTGAGCGCAAGCAGAGTGCAGGCCTTCCTAAGGTGGAAAGGCAAAGGAAAGGGGATCCAGTTTCCTCCTCCTCCCAGGACTGTGAGCCGAGAGTGTTTATAAACATGTACAGAGTGCAGGACAACTTTGGCCCCAGGGCGGAAAAATGAGGTGGCAAACTGGGAGAGGATGCTGCTAATTAATTTTGCTGCAGTCACCTGACAGGGTCCTTGCAATTAAGGGAAGGCAACTGAGCATGTACAGAGAGCTGGCAGGTGTGGATAGGGGAAGGCAAGGGAAGGCACACCTGGGCAAGACCTCTCTTGAACCTCTATTTTTCTGGACGGGGACAGATGGGCTGGGACTGGTTGACGCTGATCAAGGTGAGTTTGGGGTGGTCTTATGGGGCTAGAAACAGGGGTCCCCAAACTTGGCAGCTTGTAAGACTTGTGGACTTCAACTCCCAGAATTCTCCAGCCAGCATAGCAACCAGCATAGCTGGCTGGAGAATTCTGGGAGTTGAAGTCCACAAGTCTTACAAGCTGCCAAGTTTGAAAACCTCTGTGCTGGAGCGGTGTTTTCTCAACCGTGGGAACTTGAAGAGGTGTGGACTTCAACTCCCAGAGTTCCTCAGCCAGCTATGCTGGTTGCTAGGCTGGCTGGGGGAACTCTGGGAGTTGAAGTCCACACCTCTTCTAAGTTCCCAGGGTTTGAGAAAAACATTGCGTTAGAGTGACAGAAAAGAGTGGGTGAATGGGTGGTCCTGAGCTCCGGGGACAGAAAGAATTGGGGTCTGAGCTGAGCAAAGAGCCGGAAGGAAGGAACTTGCTCCGATCTGCTGTTTATATCCTATTCCCCCCTTTTTAAAAAAAAAAAAAAAGTGCAGCTGGAGAGGTGTGCACGCACAATTTTATGACCGAGCTTGGATGACGTGCAGAACCTGATCGCTGTCGGTGAACAAACAGCTGATGCTCACCTTGGTGACTTCACCTGTCATATGTATGAACGGAGGTCTGGGGATTAAAGGTTCCCAAAATGAGTTAAATGTAGTGTAAAGTAATACAGGTAGTCCTTGACTTACGGCCACAAAGCTAAGCAAGGGGGTTGTTAAGTGAGCCGGACTTCATTTTGCAAGCTTTTTTTCCCCCACGGTTGTGAAGCCAGTCTGGCTTACCCCCATTGACTTTGCTTGTCAGAAGCCCAGCTGGGAAGCTTGCAAATGTAATAAATTAATGTAAACGCAATCAAACAAACAAACAAAGCAAGACAAACCTAGTAATTATAAAATGATGATTATGTGACTCGGGGATATTGCAACCCTCGTAAACACCTCTCTGTTTTAAGCACCCAAATTTTGATCACGTGACTGTCGGGATGCTGCGATGGGATCGATCCTAAGTCTCTTTTGTTCAGTGTTGTAATTTTGAACAGTTGCTAAACAAATGGTAAATCAAGGATAACCTCTACAAAAACTAGATTAAGTGTCTTGTATGAATACGAAACACTGCTGGGAGTTTATTTATGTCTTAAACCCAAGAAATTCTGGTTGATGGCCATAAGACCAGAGGACTGGAGGCTAAATCGTACGATGAATAGGTAAGGGAACTAGGTACGTTTAGCCCAGGGGTCTGCAACCTTAAACACTCAAAGAGCCATTTGGACCCGTTTCCCACAGAAAAGAAAACACCGGGAGCCACAAAACCCTTCCCGTGCCGGACTATTTCTTGAGCGGCCACAAAACTAGCATATGTAGTTGAATTAAACGTTCTGTTTTCTTCTGAAATTTTTCGTTTCTTGGATTTATCCATGGTTGGCCTACCGGGGGTTGAAAAGCTCAATAAATCGCATGAGTGGCGGGTGTCGCACGTTGGCGGTTGTGACGCATATTTTGAGCGACGGGGAGCTGCAGCAGAGGGGTTAAAGAGCCACATGCGGCTCCAGAGCCGCAGGTTGCTGATCCCTGGTTTAGCCTAATGAGGGGAAGGCTCAGGGAAGACATAATAACTGTCTTCTAGTAATTGAGGGTCTGCCTCAAAAAAGAGGGGGTCAATTTATTCTCTAAAGCACCTGAAGGCAGGACAAGAAGCAATGAATGAAAAACTAATCTAGGAGAGAAGCAACTTAGAACTAAGGAGAAATCAGTGGAACAACTTGCCTCCAGAAGTTGTGAATGCTCCAACACTGGAAGTTTTTAAGAAGAGATTGGACACCCATTTGTCTGAAATGGTATTGGGGTCTCCTGTCTGAGCAGAGGGTTGGACAAGAAGACCTCCAAGGTACTTTCCAACTCTGCTATTCTGTTCCGTTATTCTGTTAGATTAAGTAACTTGTACAGCCACCTTGTATCTTGCTGGGAACGATTGAGGGCAAAAGAAGAACGGGACGACAGAGAACGAGGTGGCTGGATGGAGTCACAGAAGCAGTCCGCATGAGCTTAAATGGACTCCAGAGGATGGTAGAGGTCAGGAAGGCCTGGAGGAACGTTGTCCATGGGTCGGACACGACTTTGCAACTAACAGCACCATGCTGTGTGAGTTTTTTTTGTGTCTTGACCCCAAGAAGTTCTGGTTGAAAGCCACAAGACCAGGAGTCTGGAGGCTAAATCGTAAATTTCCTGACGGTTGGAACAATTAATCGGTGTAATGGCTTCAGAAGTTGTGGATGCTCCATCACTGGATGTTTTTAAGGAGAGTGTAGACCTGTGATGGCGAACCTATGGCACACGTGCCACCTGTGGCACATGGAACCATATTGGTGGACATGCGAGCTGAGCTCCGGTGCGCATGCGTGCACTGGCCAGCTGATTTACAGGCCTTCTGGGCCCACCAGAAGTCAGGAAACTTGCTGTTTCCGGCCTCCGGGGGGGTGGGGTGAGGAAGGCCCATTTTTCACTCTCCCCAGGCTCCAGAGCCTTTCTAGGAGCCTGGGGAGGGCAAACACGGCCTTCCCTACCCTCCCGGAGGTCCTCCGGAGGCCGGAAATGGCCCGTTTCCCGACTTCCGGTTCCACCGGAAATCCGGTGGCCCACTGTGCCATCGTGTGCCAAAACCGGGGGTCGCGTGGGGGGAGCATGACCGCATGTGCGGGGGTGGTGGTGGTGCAAATAGAATTATGGGTGTGGGCTGGCGTGTGCACGACCCCTCCCGCTCCCCCCGCTTTTGGCACTCAATGGCAAAAAGGTTAGCCATCACTGGTCTAGACAGTCACTTATCTGAAATAGTATAGGTCCGTGATGGCAAACCTATGGCACGCATGCCACAGGTGGCACACAGAGCCTTCTCTGTGGGCACACCAGCCGTTGCCCCAGCCCAGCTCTCCCCTGCATGTGCATACACCACCACCAGTCAGCTGGTCTTCAGGTCTCTGCCGTGCATGAGCAGGGGGTGGGGTGCATGCATGGGGGGCAGGGCGCATGTGCAGGGGGCGCTCGCATTGCATTTGGGGGGATTCGTGCGCAGGCCCCCCCCCATGCCCCATTTTGGGCCTGGAAAGCCGCCTGCACCAACCTGAAAGCCAAAACGGGCATGGGGGGGGGGGGGCAGGGTGCGTGTGGGGGGGGGGGGGGGGGGGGTATGCAGGGGGGACACACATGCATGTGGGGGACAGGGCGCATGCACGGGGGGTGCTCCTATCGCATTTTAGGGGTTCAGGCACCTGTACGTGCATTTGCGTGAGTCACACGTGAGTTTTGGGCCCTTGGCACCAAAAAGGTTAACCATCACTGGTATAGGTTCTCCTGCTTGAGCAGGGGGTTGGACTAGAAGACCTCCAAGGTCCCTTCCAACTCTGTTATTTGTTCTGTTATTCTGTTAGATTAAGTATCCTGTACAGCCGCCATGCTG